GTGCACTCGGTCAGAGTTCAGGATGGGCAATCTCTGACCAGCGCAGGCACTTAATAATCAAAAGGAATATTTCCCAGGTTTTCTTCTAGTGCAGCCCATCCCACACGTGTCTGGGGTCTGGAGATCACTGAGGTACGGTGGTTGGCCTCCCTGGCAGAAACCAGCCACCTCGTATCCTTGACCTTGGGCCCCCTTTCCCTCACTCTCGACCCATTTCCTTTTCTTCTGTTTGTGTGACTCCTGCGTGTGTCACCCCTTTAGCTTCACCTCTCTGGCCCCCGTCTCCTGGGGATGCCTCCCTAAATTGACCCACTGCCAGATGGACCGTAAGGTGGAAGTGGATTCTGTTTCAGTCATCATCGTATTAATGCTGTAAAGATGTAATCTGTAAACACAAATAGGGGGTTTGGTTAGTTTAGCTTATGTGATTCTTAGTTTGTTTCCTTTCGGATCTGAGGGAAAACAGTATCCCCACACAGGACTGCGGCCTTCCAGCCGAAGACCCCCTTGGCAGGGGGACACCGAGCACCAGCTTGTCCCTGTGCCTCGTCTGGGGGTCCGCCTTCCAGTCAGGTGGTCCCCTCCCCTCGCTTGTTTTCTCAGGTTTCTGCAGTGAAATGTCGTAGCACCTAGCCAGTCCTGAGAGTCTGAAGACTTTGTCGTTGTTGTTGTTTAAAAGATTTTATTTATTTTCAGAGAGAGGGGGAGGGAGAAAGGGGTAGAGAAACATCAGTGGGCTGGCTGCCTCTCACACGCCCCCGGCCAGGAGCCCGGCCTGCATGTGCTCTGACTGGAATGGACCCAAGGACCTTCGGCTCGCAGGCTGGTGCTCAGTCCACTGAGCCACACCAGGCAGGGCAGAAGATGTTTTGAGAGAACTTAATGCCTTTGATCTGACTTGGACTCTTCTTCTGGGAGACATTTTGCTTATTGCTCTAGAGGGCTCAAGGACCTGCCTCTGGCTTGTCTCAGTTGAAGGATCCTGGGTGTTTGGAAGGTGGGGTCCCTGGATTCAAATGTTGATTCTGAAACAGATCATCACAATAGCGCCTGCCTCCCTGGGGGATGGTAAGGATTAACTGAGATAATGCATATCAAGTACCTGCCCCTCCTGGGCCCACACTAGGAAAGTGAATTGTGGAGTCCTGGAGGCTTACTGACTGTTGCTGCAAGGCCTCAGGTGACTCCTGCCTGCCTCCTCCCCTCATTTCCCAGCCTCTTGACGAAGGCTTTTTGGAGCTCTTCCTGCCGGCCAGACTCAGGGCTAGGCTTGGGCGATGATTAACCAGTGCTGGTCTCTGGCCAGGCCTGGCTCAGTCTAGTGGGAAGACTGACCCATAAAGAAGAACCGGCTTTGTGGCGGTTTCTCCAACTATATGAAAAAGTTGCTCTGGCCGTCGTGCGCGGCTCCGCTGGGTGTGCCAGGCTGGAAGGGAAAGGGGGCTGTAATTCTTATTAAAATCTGTCTGCCATTCCCAGAACAGAAGAAACCCAGAAATTTGCTGTAGATGTGTCTCCCTCTCCGACCCTCCTCGGTTTCCTCTCCTTCAAGAAATGGCAACACTAGGTGACACTTCAGCAATTCTTAGGACGAAATACCTCCCTCCTTGTCCTGGCAAAGGCTGGGGCTTCAGGCATACCAGCGTTGTTTTGGGAAAGGGCCCCTGCCTTTCTTTCTCTTGAGTTTTGAGTTTAATTTCCAAATTCCAGTTGCGGAAAGGCAGGGAGCCCAGCCACAGAGTCTAGGGTTTTGGATTTATTTGAAAGACAGAGGCATGCTGACAGCTGAACAATGACCTTGTATTGGCAGATTTGGGATGCACGGTTTGTAGCTAATTGGGGCCCCAGCTGTGCCCTGGGGGAGCAGCAGTTAGACAGGAATCAAGGTCACACAGTGCCCAGAGTCCAAAGGACATTCATTTATTTAGTAAATAATATGTGAGTGTGTGAGACACAGATGACAATCAAATAATTGCCTCAGTAAAAATAAAGCTACCGCTGTGAGAAGTGCACAGGCCCGTGGACGGGGAGACTGCCCAGCGCAGGATAGAGGAGGCCAAGCGGGGAGAGGGTCCCCATGGAAGTAACTTCTCAAGATTGGCCACGTCTCTTACCTTGTTTTCCAAGATCTTGTTTTCTCGGCAGGTCTTCTAAAGGGCTGTTTACCTTATGGTTCAATGATAGCTGTGTCTGGGGTCGAAGGAATGGATCTGACTCCTATCCGGGTCCCCAGATCACAGGAAAAGGCATCCCCTTTGTTTCGGCCTGATGGTCACCTCTGAGCATGGCAGGTACAGAACCCAGGACCAAGGCCGAGGGTTCCGTCCCTGGGGGCTAGAAGAAGAGGGCCGATCTGGTCTCTCCCGCAGGTGGGGTAGAGGTGGCCTCAGGGGCCCCTTTGCTTCTTGGCCCGAACCAAGCCTGACACTTCCTCCTTCTGTGACTCAGTTGTTGAGCACAGCAGCTCGGCCTGCCGATGGGTTTGTGGGGACCACCTGGGGGCGCCTGACGTTCCTGGGTTGGCAGCCTGAGGGTTTCCCTGAGGGCCCGGAAGTCAGTGCCAGCCTGGGGAGGCTGAATGGGGAGACTTCCTGCTGTCACAGGACAGCCAGGTCAAGCCGTCAGAGGTTCCTGTGTGTGGCTTTTTGGAGGTGCGGCTCCACAGTCCTGAGGTTTAAACACCTCCTGCCAGTCTGAGTGAGCGGATGTCACAGAGTTTGCTGCCTTTTTAACTTCGCGGAGCATGAACGGTATGTGAATCCCATGTCATGTCCAGAATTCGGTATTTTAAATGTCCTGGATAGTGGCAAAGTAAGTAAGGAGATTTTAAAACTGTCAGCCCTAACCCTGTCCAGGTAGCTCCGTTGGTGAGAATGTCGTCCTGATACGCCAAGGTTGTGGGTTCGATCTCTGGTCAGGGCACATACAGAACTCCACCGATGAATGCATCAGTAAATGGAACTATACATCAGTGTTTCTCTCTCTCCAGTCAATCAGTAAAAAATATATCAGCATGATAGGGCCACGCGGCTTCATGACAGTCATTCATTTCACTCAGTTAACACTTACCAAGACTCTCCAGTGTTCTGAACGCCAGGAGTCCTGGGGAAACCATGGAAGGGTGATAAAGACTACACTTGTGACTTCAGTAAGTTCCCCATCTGGTGGGGAGACAGACACATGAACAGTGTGATGAAGGCCATTCCCTTTTTGGATGCTGGAGAAAGAAGGCCACCAGCTCTGCTTGGGGTCTCGGTGGAGCTGGGGTGAGGGATGAGCGGGCATTCGCCATCAGGGAAGATTGGTTAAGGTGTTGCAGAAAGGCTGCAACCACCGAGAAGAGGCAGGGAGCGAGCTTGGCCTGCTGGGAAACAGGTTTGGAGTGAGGTGGGAAGGTGATGAGAAGATAAGCCACCAGGTCCTCGGTGCCACCTGAGGTGTTGGGCTTTGTCCTGTAGGCTGCTAGGAAACCACTGTGGAGGTTTTGAAACTTGAGAGAGATGTGATCAGATTGCGTTGTATAAATAGAATTCTAGAATGGGCTGGAGAGGCATGCGCTGAGTCAGGGAGTCCAGTCCGGAAGCAGTCGCAGTAGTTGAGGATGGGAGAGGGTAGGGCTGCCACAGTGCTGCTGGCTGTGACCATGAGGGTGGCGGCGGGAGGGTGCGTTTCAGAGGCAGGACTCACTGCCTCGGGGACAGGTGAAGTGTGACAAAGAAGGAAGAGATAATACGGGGTGTTTTCTGCTTGGGCAGCTGGGCCTGCAGGAGGAAGGAATAGAATTGGGATGAAAGTGATGGGGGCCCGGGGAGGAGAAAGATGGTTTTAGCTTTGGGTGAGTTTCATTGAAGTGCCACCCTGGGAGACAGATAGGGGCATCCTTTCAGAAGGGGCCCAGGTTTCAGGAGCAGGGGGCAGAGATTTGAAGACTGGAGGGTGAGGCACACAGAGGGAGCGCCCCCAAGGAGGGGGAGGAGGTGGGAGAAGAGCAGCCAAGGAGACCGAGGCTCAGGCAGGGAGATGGGGGAAGTGGGGATGGGAGAGTTTCAGGGAAGAGCAGCCCATGAGAGAGCTGAGTGCAGCACCAGGGCCAAACCATGTTAGCATTCGACCATATTAATTAGTGTTCTGATGGGGCAGGTTGCAGGCTGCCCATATTTTTGTTACTCAAAAGCCTGGTTATGATAAATTATGTTCATGGAGCATCGCCAGAAGGCTCTGTAGCTCTTCCATCCCTCCAGAGAGTTTGCATCGCTGGACCCAGCCAGATCATCAGAGAGCTGTGTTCTGGGACTGCCCTGATTTGACCTGGCATAGAATCCTTTGTACTGCTTTGCCCTTTGGTGTTCATTACACTGTCTGTTTTCCTGGAGGGACAGTCTTATCAGAGGGTTACATCGAAGGAACTTTTGGGATGGGCTAGGGAATCTCATCCGTTGGGTTACTCATTGTCTCCTGTAGGAGAATGACTCTCAGAAAATCTGAACAGTCAAGGTTCTTTTATTTTCTAGGAAACACAAACCATATACCTACTCTTTCGTTTTTTGCCTTGGTTACTAGGGAGCTCAAAGCCAAATTTGCCATTGAAATTCAGTAAGTGTTTAGCAATTTAACAGCATGCATTTCTATGTCCTAACTCCTCTTTTTTCTTTTATTCCTCCTATCCTAATTTCTTAAACTATTTTAATAGGATTGTATTGTTAATATCTCTGTGAGCCAGTTTAAATCCTTTTTGGAGCTTGGAGTTGCATAAGAAAAAGAAGGAAGCCCTCACACAGATAGTCTGGGCTTTTTACATTATTTTTTATTGAAATGATAGAAACAACCCAAAGAGATATCTGATCTCTTCATAACCAGCTAGCTACAGCTATTTCTATCTAATATCTAGTAAATTACATGCAAGTTTCAGGATTTTCAAAGGGAACTGCCTTTTCTGTCCGCAGATGTTCAAACAGATGCAAACCTCACGTGGGGGCCTCCCCGGGCAAAGTGCTGAACTCAGGGCCATGTGGTAAATACATTGCTGTAGTAACAGATGTTGCAAAGACACAGGCCAGCAGCCATCTCTGACTGGACGCTGTGAGACTGGTGTGTTCTGTGACTTCGCTGAAACCAAGGTCGGAACAGAACGGTGGATGGATGCTCTGCTCGGGGAGCAGGACTCAGCTGGCGGAGACATTATTACAACATGGAATCAGGACTTTAAAAGCTGAAGGAATCCTAAAGATCATGTAGGATTATCATCTGACAGATAATACCCCTGAAACCAAGACTAGGCCCTGTGTCCAGGATAGAGATGAATGGTTGGTTTTGTTTATGAAAGAGAGTGGTTTCTCGAATATCCAAGATGGTTTTGATGATCAGCTGGGTGGGATTTGAAGCACCACCTGCGCCCAGTGCTATAAAGTGGGTAACTGTGAAACACGATGACATTGACTCTCCCTCATGTCTTGCACATCAGCTTTAACAGGCAGTTTTAATAGGAGCATTTCAGTCAAGTTCTCACTGGTACTGGTAGTTCCATCCTGGGATTAGTAGCGTCACTGCAGACTGCAGAGGTAGCCTTTCCTCCGCACGAAGTGGTGGAGTGGTCTGTTGTTTGGAGTGACATCGCAATAGTATCAGATCCCCAGCTAAGCCACAAAAACCTACTTAAACCCCAGTGTACCTTTAAGTGGATTAATTTAGGTCCTAACCCTGTAACCACCATGAGTCAGCCTCAGAGACAGGAACACTACTCTGTTTGGGTTCTGTGAGTAAACAGCTCCTGTGCTTTTTCATGCTTGCTGGTGAGGACGATCACGGCTAATCAAGGTTATTGAGCACTACCCATGTGCCAGGTGCTGTGCAGAACGCTTCACTTGGATTATGTCACTCGATTCTTTTGTGTTCTCCATGAGGCAGGCTCTGTTGTTACTCCCTTTTAGGCAGCTTGCCTGATGGTGGTGCAGCAGGTGAGAAGAACCAAGACTGAACCCCAGTCCATCAGCTTTAGATCCTGGCCCCACCAGCGGACTACACCGCCACCCACTCCTCTTACCTGGGAGCCCTGGGAGCCTGGGTCCCTCTGCTCCCTGGCCTGGGTCCAGGATTCTGGTGAGATGAGGACTGGGCACAGAGGTCAGTCCTCCTGGCTGAAGGCCCCCATAGCCACCCTGCCTCGTGTTCCAAAAGTGGCTCATCTGTCCCCTTCCTGCCGCTGCCACCTGTTTCTTGCCTCCAGTCAGGGCTTCTCTCCTCCCCCACTGATGCGGGGGCAGACCAGGGCCGCTCAGTCGTGAGCCTGCTCCCCTCAACGCCCTCTTCAGGCTTTCTGAGAGTCCCTCCAGTACATAAGAGATGGAAAAGTGGGAAAATGGTTAAACTCTAATCCAACAGCCAGCCAGCCCTCTGTCTGTCTTATCTGCCTGCCTGTCTGTCTGTCTGTCTTAGACTCTGCAAATACAAAGTATGGGCATGGGTGCCAATGGCAGGTCTTTATAAGACTTAAAAATTCACCAATAGCCCGGAAGAACCATAGTTCTTGGCATCTCAGCACAGGATCTGAGTGAGGAATCTGCAGGGAGAAGGAGCCTGGGGACCCAGAGTAACCTTGTCTCCTAGTCCATTACATGGGGGAGGGGAGGGGCTTCAGTCACGTCTGCCAGCCACATGGGTGGGTGGACTGGTCTCGTCAGCAGCCCACTGTGAAGCAGAGGGAGTTCGGGTCAGTGACGGCCTCTGCCCTGTGCCCTGTGCTGCTGAGTTCAAGGGCTGCAAAGATGACTAAAACGTGGTCCCTGCTCTTGGAGCTTACCTCTACTGGAGGAAAGAGAGGCAGGAAACGATCACTTCGTTTCAGGAAGGTGAGTGTCAGAGAGAGGTGGGCACAGAGGAGTGGCCCGTGAGCCCAGTGATGAGGCGACATTTGGGCTCAATCTTAATGGATCAGTAAGGGCTTGGTGAACAGTGGTGGGAAGGGTGTGTCAGGCTGAGGGAATGGCGTCAACAAAACTTGCAGGGTGAGATGCAAGGGTGGCGTATGAGGAGGGACTACAAGGAGTTTGGTTGCTAACACTTTGGAGAATTCCTGACATGGGGTTGACCCTTAAATGTCCGTTCAGTACGTGAGCATAGGGTATGAAGTGGTAGAGATGAGTCTGAAGTCATTTCTAGTTGTCAGTGGTAGGCGGTTGTCAACGGTAATACACACTTAGAATGTATCGTATACTTAGTTACATGCCAGGCACACATGCTGAGTACTTTACATGTGTCTAACTTAGTTGATCTTCACAGAAGTCCCATGGGGAAGATAGTCCTCTTTCTTGATGAGGAAAGCGAGGTCCCGAGAGGTTAAGTAACTTGTTCAAGGTCACACAGCTGGTAAATGACAGAACTGGGCTCGGAGATGTCCAAGTCTGGTTCTGGAACCTGTCTTGTCTGTGCCTTGTGTGGCCTTTCCAAAGGCCGCAAGAGTGACGACATGGTCAAATCTGCTTTTAACAAGACAGTGCTGGCTGACGTGCGGAGGGTGGACGTAAGGGGACAGGAGGCTTAAGGGCCTGCCCGGGCTGCGCGCCAGCACCGCATAAGTGCACTTAACATCATCTCATTTAATCCCCACCGCCCTGTGTCGGGTGGTGTTGTTGGAGATCAGGAAGCTGGGGGTCAGAGAGGTTGAATAACTTGCCAGAAACCACTCAGCTGGAAAGGGGAAGAACTGGTTTGTGATTCCAGAGCTCTCTTCTTTTCCAGGTAGTCTTCGCCTACCTGCTACCAGAGCACCCCCAGAAACGACAGCACACCTGGGGACGGCCCGGTCCCGGCCTGCTGTCGGAGGTGTCGCCACCCCTAGTGAGTCCCACCTTCTCGGTTCTGCAGCTGCGTGTGTGTCCATATAGACTCGCTTCTCCCATCACTCACCGAGTTCCTTCGTGACTTCTCTGAAGAATTCGTCCCTCTCACCCCTCTATCTTGGGGACACGCAGAAGGCTCTGTGTGGAGTCCCGGCTACAGTGGTGGCTCCTTGGGGAGCAGGCCCGTCTGTCGGGTGGGCCAGCAGTTTTGGTGCGTGCTCCCTGTGCACTTGGCTCTCAGAGTGGTGTATCTGAGGTCTTTGTTTTCAGTCATAACAGTTCACACATTTTCTTTCCGTGCTGATCAGCAGGAGTCAGCTGGGGGTGGTAGCAAATCTTCCTTTAATTCCCACTGTGATGGATTATCACTTCACTTAAAATGGTGTTTAATCTGTACATGTGCCCTGAGGCTTTTAAATATTGAGCTCATTTGATTGTTATTGGAAATCAATTTGGATTCCAGGGTATGTGCAACGACTCGGATTGGGAAGCACCGTGGAGCTGGCAGCCCCATTAATAGGTGCCAAGTTTTAAAGATTAAAATGTGAGTCCTGTAGCCCCATACCCTTAATTTCTCCCTTTGAAAAAAACCTCACCTATTTTATCTTCCTGCCTACAAACTCACTCAAAGAAGCAGCTTAAAAAATTTTCCCTAAGAGGGAAAAAGACGGCAAGGGGATTATTTTCTCATTCCTAGCTGTCATTGTTTCTCTGTCACTCAGCCTACTTCTCTTCCTTCTCAAGTTCAAGGACCCTTTTCTCCTTGATCCTGCTTTACCTTGCTTTTCTCTCTTACCCCCTCATTCCTGCCAGTTTGCCCTGTACCAGTTGAACGAGATTCATATTTCAGCAAGATATTTTCTTTTCTTCTTGGAAGGAGTCAGGTTTTTTTCTTTTTTCTTATTTTTTAGAGAGAGAGGAAGGGAGTGAGAGAAAGACAAACATCAATTTGTTGTTCCACTTATTCAAGCACTCATTAGTTGATTCTTGTATGTGCCCCAACTGGGGATCAAACCCACAACCTCGGCATATGGGGATGATGCTCTAACCCACTGAACTACTCAGCCAGGGCAGGAGTCAGCTTTGGGTGGTTGTGCATTCCTCTGGAAGAGCGAGAAGACAGTGACTGCGGAGCAGCAAAGACTAATGCCTACTGTCTAGGCTCCCCAGGGTTTTCTCTAGCACCAGGCAGCCTGAGATACTGCTTATGTGGTTGCTTTTGCTCTCATCTTTTTAAGTTCAGAGCTGTGGTGTGCAGAGTGTGTGTGGGGGCATGTGTTTGTATGGGACATACATTTAACACAGACTGTATAAATGCTTGTTGCTCATGACATAGCTTTGAACACGTTTCGGGACTCAGATTTGAAGTGGAGCAAAACTAGAAGCCCCTGCCTATGACCCTGTTTTGGGAGTTTCCTACAGAAAAGAAGTAAGAGAAGAAATAATCTTACTCTAGGGAAATGCATAATTTAGAAGCCAGCTGCGTGTGTAAGACAACAGACTCTGTGGCCGCTTTATAAGCCCAGACCGGCAGCCGGGGCTCCTTGCTTCCTTTTCGTCCCTCCGTGTTTGTCTAAGACCCACGAGGCCAGCACTGCCGGTGCGCCCCGCTGGGCAGCCTCGGCCGCGGCCTTCAGGCACGCTGGCCTTGGACAGACTTCCTGCTCTCTTCCCCTGCCTGTCTTTTCTCTTCCTTACCTGGCCCTACCACCCCTTCCTCTCCTGGAAATACTGTCCTACCTGAGAAAGCAGAATAGGAGTGTTGGAAAGTTCAAGCATATTTCAGGAAACCGAGTGCCCCAAGTTGGGTCCTTGGCTCCCTCTGCCACCTGTAATACATCCACACTGAATAGCGTCGGTCTCCCTTGGGCTGGGGTTTTACCCGCTCCCAGAAGGTGCCCGGGGGCTCGGGCTCCAAGGGCCCTGCGTCTTCTTGCCTCATCTCCGGCTGTGTCCAGGCCTAGCACTGGGTCAATCAGTTCTCACCTCTATGTTCCTCAAGTGTTTCTATAAAATTCAGTGCAACCCGATTTCACACCTTTAAAAATAGACTGTGCAGGGAAGGCACGATGCCTGGGCCCTGTAGGTCTGAATCCCTTTAGCAGTTGGACATCTCACGAGTGGGGAGCCTGCTTGGCTCAGGGGCGCCCAAGGGACACACAGGAATAGGGGTGGTGACCACTGCTGTCCTTCAGCCTCGTGCTGGCGAGCAATGCTGACCACTCAGGGAGTGGAGAGTCGCAGGGCTGTAGTGGCCTTCGGGGACCGCTGTGGGGGAAGGGTGTCGGCGAGGAGGTGGCTTTCCTTGGGAAGATTGAGCCCAGGCAGGTTTAGGGGGAAAGGAGAACTGTGATTTGCAGACTTTCTCTAGACATCCAGATGGATCCCAGACATAATCCAGCAAGGATGCTTGGTTTTGTTTGTCTTCCTTCCTGGTCTCTCTAAATAATTTTATCTTCAAAGCATGACACAGGTGCTAATTAACACTCCGGCTCTCCTTGGAGGGAGGCAAGTGGGAACAGCACACCGGTACTGAGGCTCAGGGAACAGGCAGGTAGTGAGCCTGGGAAGGCAGCGTGAGGCTTAGACTGTGGGGCCCTCAGACCTTCACTTGGACATACCCTCGGACCCACCTCGCGGTCTCCGTGTCCTTGGTCCCCCACAGAAGGGAGGAGCTGAGGTTCTGGTAGGCGGTGTGTGGTGCTATGGGATGAGTAATGGGAGGTTTGAGGGTTGAGGAAGAGTTCTGGTAAAATTCACTCTCATTGTGAGTTTTAGGTGCTGAGATTTGACTAATTCATTGGTTTCATTTATTCACTTGAGTTAAAAAAAAAAAAAAGTACTAAGCACCTACTTTTGGGCAAGCTATGGCAAAGGGAGTTACTGCTCTCCCAAACAGCTGGCCGGCCACGAGGGGCCCTGCTGGCTGGGAGCCCGATCCTTCGCGTTCCAGCGCAGTCCACGGGCAGAGGGTGGCTCGGGGTCGCTGTCTCCGCAGGTACGGGTTTCAGGTGTGGGAGGGTTGCTAGCCTCTGGAAACGGATGAGAAATCCATATGTGATTTGACGCAGCGACACTCTAGAGCCTGAATTTCTCCCTTCACTCTAGTGTTCATCTGAGTTGGCTCAGGAGGGGGGCCGTTGGAGTCCTTTACCAGGGGCTGTAGGTAGCACGTCTTCGAGCCTGGCCTTTTCCAGGGCTCCCTCGAGTGGTGGCCGTGCCAGTCTGCTGGTGTCGGTGCCTGTTGCCCAGGGACTGCTGAGAGCGCCGAACTCCAGAAGAGCAGCAGTTCTGGGATCTGGGATCGCCAGTGGTTTCTTTTTCCTTCACCAGGCATCTAGACACCGAGCAAGAAACAGAGGGTGGTCATTTGTCCTGTAAATGTCACCCTCCTAGTGGCCGTTGGCCCCGACTTGCTTTGCAGGAAGCCCAGCTCCGTTGGCTGATGCTGTTCCCCTTCTCTTGGCTCTGCAGGCTGCTGAGAGCCGGCCCCAGACCTCTGCTGGAGGGCCCTTCCTCTGAAGACATCGCCAGTGTGTGGAGCCTGCCCCACACCCACCCCCTGCCAAACCACGGCCTTTACCTGTGTCTTCCGGTGTTTCCCCTGCGACCCATCCTGCGGGAGTGCCTCGTGGGCCACCCCAGAGTTCGCCCCACGCTCCACGGCACCAATGGTGAAGATGACAAGATCCAAGACTTTCCAGGCGTATCTGCCCTCCTGCCACCGGACCTACAGCTGCATTCACTGCAGGGCCCACTTGGCCAATCATGACGAACTCATTTCCAAGGTACATGTTCCCTGAGGGCCTTTCTCATCTTCCCTGGGGTGGGGGTGGGGGACTTCCTGTCCCTGAGGTTGCAAAGGTTTACAAGCTCCCCCAAAGAGCCTGGGATATTTGTACCCCATCTTCTGTGTAGAGAGTGCTGGCCTACAGGGCTGTGTCATTCGACTGAGAAGGAACTGAGTTTTGTTATTTTGGAAATTAGATGTCGTCTCTGTGGCTGGCTGGCAGGCAGGCTGGAGGGGAGGGCCGGTGGTTGGCAGATGAGCATGGTCCAGATTGCTGCTGGCCTGGACGGGGAGCATGAGGAACGTGGGTGGGGCCGGGGTATCTGGTTGCGGGGCTCTTTAGCTGAGACGGGAGGGGATCCTGTCCTCCACGCCCCAGGGAAGGCCCTGAGACTGTTGACCCGGGAGAACCAAGAGTGACTTGGTGAAAAGCCGACGCGCTGGCCTGTGGGGACATTGGGGGCCTTTACACGAGGTGACACGGCATGGCATTTGCTCCCCAGCAGAAGAAAAAAATGGAACCCTGTTCTCCCCAGGAGCCTTGGCTGCTGCTTTCTAAGGTGGGGGTGGGAGCGAAGGGATTATTGGTAAGTGATGAACCTGACATCCCAGCTGCTCGATCCAGGAGCTGGCTCCCACAGGCGGTGTTCTTGGGGGGCCTGCTTCCCTCCTGACCCCGAATCCCCGGGGGAGGAGAAACAGGTTTTACTAGGCTGTGTGAAAAGGAGAAAGAGATCATGGGGGACTTTTCCCTAAAAGAAAAACACCTTCCTCAGAACCTGGACTGCATGCCATTAAAGTGAAAAAAAAAAAAAAAAGAAAAAGAAAGAAAGAAAAGAAACAAACAACCTTTATGCAGACCCAGACTAAGTTTAAAAAAAAAAAAAGAGCTGCTAAAAAAGGTGGCCTCACCTTCCCTGCCTCCGGTGTGGTAGCCCCAGCCAGAAAGGGGTGAAGGGTCAACAGTTCCAGAACAGTCCTGTGCGGCCAGCTGATTTGGCAGGAAGGGAGGAAGGCTGCCTGAACAACCACATCTTGGGGGGTGGGGCTTCTCAAACCGGGATTGAGGACGGACTCCTCCTTCTAGGCCTCTTCCAGGGTCTGGGGTTACCACAGAGCTCGCACCCTGGAGCCCTCGGAGCCCTGGCACCTGGCCCACTTTCCCTTCTCTCTGCCAGTTACTCTCCTTGACGCTCTTTATGTCCTACCCAGCCCATCGCGTCCTTCTCTGTCACCTAACTCATCTTGTCTCATATTCCTTGGGTCTTTGGGGAACCCCTTGAGTCTGGAAGTGTGGCCGTGGGGAGGCCATGTCAGTGAGGGGAGACAGGAATTGGTCCTCTTTGCTTTGGAAGAGTGCCTGCAAGCTTGGGAAATGTGAGTTGTTCTTTTTCTGAAAACCTCCAGAGAAAGTGGAAGCCAGGACATTTTTTTTAATGCCAGGGAGAAGTGCTCTGTAGTGTAAGAAGTTGAGGTACCTGTAAAATTTTAATGCGTTCTCTGTACTAAAAACTGCTCCCTGCACACTCTTAACTGTTGCCTCAACCCTCGTAAGAAGCCTTTAAGGTAGGTAATATCAGTCATGTTTTATGGGGATGGAGAAGCTGAGACTTATAAATGTTGTCCAAGAATTCAAACTGGAGGCTCAGAGAAGAGAGAGCAACTACTTTGAGCATCTTCAAGGATTTCTGGAAGAGGCGGTTGTGCAAGGTGGGCCAGAGTGCATCGGTGGAAATTACGTCTTATCTCTGGCCCGGTGTGCAGGGATTTGGGTAATCTGGCAGAGCCTGCCTTTTGAGTTAGGTCTCCTGCCAGTTCCTTGCTTTATGTTCCAGCCACTTGGAACTGAATAGACAGATAGGGGATTTCAGGCCGCTGTGCCTCGGCCAAGAGCGGCCCTTTTTCTTCACCTTCCTGTCTCCCGGGAGCTCCACACAGCCTTTCCCACCTGGGGCTATTTTCTACCACTTTTGTGTCTCTGGGATCCAGAGATAAAAAGACCCCTGGCAAGAGCTCAGTGAACGACCAGATAAATGCGTGGATAGAGCCTGAGCTTTGGAGAAGACAGGTGATGAGCCAAAGAGACCTTGTTGGCCTCATGTCCTTTTCCGTGCCCCTCTCGGGGCAGAAAGGCTCATTCATAAATCCAGGCCAGAGTCAGCAGAGGCTTCAGTTTCATTGGCTGCCACCGGTGCACAGATGGGGTACATTAGAGCTTGATGATTTAAAGAGTTGGGTTAACTGCCTGGCTGTGGGGAGGGACTGAGGGAACTGTGGCTGGCATGGCACAAAGATCCTTTTATTCCACTGCCCAGCCACCCCCGGCGGTAAGTAATCCATAGATTCATGTGCAGGTCCGTTTAACGGGAAGATCGTCGCCCCAGCCCCCTCCCTGGAAAATGGGCCTTTCTTTTCATTTGGTTCTCTCTTCCATTTAAGAATGTTCGGGGGGAGAATGTTTCTCCTGTTCTCCCCTCTTGACATGGTCTCCTGTGTGGTTTCAGAATCCGCCCAGTGGGAGTTCGGGGCTGGGAAGCAGATAATGGAGCAGCAGTGTAATGAAATGATACGTGGTGCTTGTAATGGAGCCTTCCATCTGGAAGCTTGACATTCCATTGTTAGGTCTAAAAAAAAAGTGGGCCTGCCTTTATTCTGGAGAAGCCGACACACAAAGGTCCAGAGGACCGAAGCTCTGAGTATGGAGCCAGCAGAGAACTGGGACGGGAGTCAGGGCCCGGAGCTCCCTTCCTGTCAGTGTGGCAGAGCCCCCATGGAAATGTGTAGCTGTCAAGTTTTAAACAATTAGGGCCTATGTTGACGTGCCGTATAAGGAGACCAGTGTGGCTCAGTTGGTTGAGCGTCATCTACAAAGTGAAAGGTCACCAGTTCCATTCCCGGTCAGGGCACATGCCTGGGTTGCGGATTTGGTCCCTGGTTGAGGCGTGTTCACAAGGCAACTGATCAGTGTTTCTCTCCTTCTGTCCCTCCCTCCCGCTCTCTCTAAAAATAAATAAAGAAAGTCTTAAAAAAAAAAATCCGGCACCAAGGGTTCTACCTTCCCAGCTTGCTCTAGATCTCCAGAGGCCTGCTTGCCTGGAATTAACTGTCCAACCTCTGATTCTCAGTCTTTCACTAACAAAAGGAAAGATACTTGCTGTGTCTAGTGCCTGGGCGCTAGCACTGTGTGCCATCGCCAGAACAGTCCTATGTGGTAGGTGTACCTTCTCTGAGGCTGAGTAGGGGGAGCAGGTTTACCTCATTGGGTTGTTATGAGGCTGGATGAGATCATAGATGTGTGGGTGGTTTGCAAATCAAAGAAAGCTGTATGCAAGTATAAAGTAGTTCCTCTGCTTTTCTTGGACTTGCTGTTAAAAAGGAAAAAAAAAGAGAAAAAAAAGGAAAAAAGGAAAGGCAAGGGTGTGGGGCAGAGGGGGTTATTCCTGTCTGACACCAGGCAAATTTAGATTAGCCAGGATAGTTTCACTTTGGAACGTGGGGCGAGGGAGTTGGGTAGAGAGGAAAAGGAAATAGAAGAAATCCTCAGCACAGGTGCGCATGCTTGCAGAAAGGTGCCGGCAGCATTTGCTCTGTAGAATGGTGGGTGGGTGGGGAGGTGTGGAACTCTGAAACTTTGAATAGATAACAGAACTATCCAGGGAATGTGCTGAGGGGGCACCCTGCAGCTTCTTCCTGGGGGTGTTGCAGCCTGAGTGCTGGGGTGTCTGTGAGCAGAGGTGTTCTGAGTTGGCATGAGGAACAGCTCATGCTGTTGTTTCATACTTACTGGTGCAAGCCCCAGGATGAAAATGGGCCTTGGTTATAAAATACTGATGGTGTCAACTGTAACAGTTAGTTGCCCTGAGTGAGAGCAATCTAAATGCTTTTTTTAAGAAGATGATGAAAACAATGAACAGTAAAATGACAACAAACTCACAACTACCAACAACTGAACCTAAAAAAAAAAAAAACGAAAGCAAACTAAGCAAACAAGTAGAACAGGAACAGAATCACAGGAATGGAGGTCACGTGGAAGGTTATCAGTGGGGAGGGGTGGGGGAAGAATGAGGGAAAGGGTACAGGGAAGAAGAAGCAGCATAGATGGTAGGTACAAGATAGGCAGTGGGGAGGTTGAGAATAGTCTGGGAAATGGAGAAGCCAGAGAAGTCACACGTATGACCCATGGACGTGAACTGGAGGGCAGGATGATGCTGGTGGGAGGGCCGGTGCAGGGTGGAGGGGAATAAAGTGGAGAAAAAAATGGGACAACTGTAATAGCATAATCAATAAAATATTTTTTAAAAAATAAATGTTCTTTTAGTGGGCACTGTTATGGAAAGCTGGATCTTAACAAAGCTTTTCCCTGAAAATTTTCTGTCTGTAGTCGTTCCCTTCTCTCCCGCCCACTGCCCTTCCGTGGCACGGTGGAGCAGGCCCTTGGGAATAGCGAACCGGTTAATCTGTCTGATCCCACTCTGGGGGCGGGGCTTCACTTCAAGGTGCGGGTGCTTTAGGGCGCTGGGTCGGAGGAGGGAAGGTGTTGTAGGAGGCTCTGAAGGGGAGTCCAGTGAAGGGGAAAGGGACAATCTTTTGCTCACCCTCCAAAACTGTTTTTTACTGTGTCAGATCTTCAGGTCAGTTATCTTCTGGTGTGACAAATGCAGAATTCCCAGAGGCGCAGGTCATGGAGCACAGCCCCCTCTTCATGAGGAAGCAGGCCATGGGCCACTCCGTGACCAGCTGAGGTCACACAGCCTCGGAGCCAGGCGTGCCGGCCTCACACCCTGCAGCTGCGCTCCGTGAGAACAGCTCCGGCTCCACTTGTTTTCAAGAGCTGGGCCTCCCCCTGAGGTTCCCGGCTTTTTGGAAGCAGGTTCTTTTTGTTCCCTGTGGAGTTCCACTGGGCTTACAGTCGATGGCATTTGGTTTTCCCTGCCTGCCTAGACATGAGATGAAGCACCGCTGTCAACAGTCTGAGGAAGGTGGCAGGGAACAGGATGT